CTACTTTAACATGGATAACACATGGAAACAGGATCACTAGTTGGTATGATCTGCAATACTGTATTGGCAATTATTGAATGAACAGCCAATTAGAACAATTCCTGCCCCCCAAGTCACAGATTTCTTTGTCAGTTAATTAGTCATCATAGGTTGGAAACTGCAATCTTGAGGAGGGGGAAGGGAATGGGGGGGGGGGGGGAACACACTCCCATTAGGTAATTATGAAAGGCAGGATCCCATGGATCGATTTCACCATCCTTTGAGGAGTTCCCCAGCAGAAGAACCACTTGGATTTGAGGAAGGCTCCTTGTACCAGACAAAACTGTCAGTGTTAATGGAATGCATCTGCGGGATCTAACCCAATATTACAACCAAATTCAAATTTCTCATAAGGCTAGTACTACAAAGGTGGAGGGTTTCTCTTGCAGTCTTTAGATGGGTGGAAGATGGCATGGGAAGAACTCTTTCTTTCCCATTTCCCGTAAGATCAACGTGCTCGCTCAAACCAATGGTCTATCTAGCCCAGCATACTATTTCACACATCAGCCAACCAGTTTCCCCGAAGGATAAAACAGGGTATATAGGCCCTGCTGCTGCATCCCAGCACTGGCATCCAGAGTTTTGCACCACTGTAGATGGGGATCCCTTCACCCACCATGGTCAGTAGCCATACCACAAATTAAGGAGAAATGCATTGGTAGACTATAGATGGCAAGAATCAGCACCAGGGGCTATTGTTGTATTTTGATGTAAGAAGATGTGATGGAACATGCACAGCCTGTTTTAAGTGTTTGGGGTCTTGCTAGTTTCCCAAAGGGGTACGCAAAAAAAAATAATGGTATTTTTCAGTCCAGGTCTATTGGACCTGAAAAGAAAAATACCAATTTTTTAAAAAAGAAGCCAGCCTGACCCTGGGGCTAGCTTTGTTTCTCCTGCAGCATGGTTTAAATCACACTGCAAGAGAAGCTGGCCCCAGGATCTGTGTGAGGCAGGGAGTTCTCAGTTCCTGCCACCCCGGGCTGGCTCCTCTTGAAGATCGCTTTAAACCAAACTGCAAGAGAAGCCAGCCCCAGCCAAGGCAGTGCAGATCTCTCAGCTCCAGCTGGCCCAGCCAACCCTTAGCTAGCTCCTCTTGCAGCTCAGTTTAAGCTGAGCCACAAGAGGAGCCAGCCCCAGCTGATCTTCTCTTGCTGCAAGAGAGGATCAGCTGGGGTGATGGGAGCTTGCTCCTCTTGCAGTTTGGTTTAAACCGAGCCTTAAGAGGAGCCAGCCCCATCCAAGGCGGCACACAAGCCTCAGTTCCCACTGCCCATTCAGTATAGTTGAATGTACCCGAATAAAAGCCCCCCAAAATCAGCTTTATTGGGGCTCAGCTATACCAGTAGCCAATCAGATTCTCTGATCTCTATTTAGCTTAAATAATGCCTGCGAAATACCAGTAAGGTATTTTTCAGCTATTTTTTTGGCTTGGTTTATGTCGAATGCACACCCCACTAGTTCCCAACTGCAGAGACAGTCCTCTTGCAGTGAGGGCTAGGTCAGGAGATGCAATCAGAGCAGGGAGGGGTTATCTATAAACTATGGGTATGGCATATGCCGGGAAGCCAGAAGCTCTCTTCATTTGCTAGCTCAGCCCTGTGATCTCTCATCTTTATGAATTTCAGTTAAGAGTCTAAGAGATGTATCTGACAGGTAGTGAAGGATCGTGTCCCTGCCTTTAAAGAATAAGCCTAAATCAGAGTTGGGAAGCGCTCAACCACACCCTGTCCCAGGCCACAGAGGTCCCTGAGGAGCAAGAATAAAGGTGAGAATATATCATGCAAAGGAAACAAAATCGATCCAGACCTATACAGGAACACCTAACATAATCCTGGTCTGACTGAGCCAGGCTATTCTCATCTAAGCCAACTCTGATTTCAACAGTGGTCACCAATACAATTCCAGAAAACCTGTAGAAACTGAGCACGGGATTAACCACCCTCACTCATATTTAGAAGACTGAAGCTGATTCACTAATCCAACCACACTCATGTGATATATACTTAATCATTTCTAAGAACTGGTAAATTGCCATTATTATAGTATATGGATTTAAATTTCATTCAAAGCAGTAGGGCTCAGAATTGTGAACATGCTTTTAGATGCCACCATTTAACCTGTACATAAAAGTAAACTGTAATATACAATTTCTTAGGTTGAAAAATCTACTTTGCATTCATGTTTATACATAACAAGCTAAACTATAATTTTTACCTAGGCATAATTATCACAGGGGCAAATTGCCAACACCCAGCTCTACTTGTATATCCATTCTCTGTTCCCTATTTGTACTATACGTATCTTATTGTCTCTTACCTCTAAACAAAGAACATTTATCTGCAACATATGTGCATTTATCTGCAACATGGAATACAGCACTGAGTAATGCAGACTGCATGCACAGTCTTCACAATATTGCAGAAGTGGTTCTTCATTCTGCTCCACTCATGTCACTGTCCCTCTAGTACATGCAAGGCCTCTTCCACTGAAATTGTGCAGCCATTGGCAGTCATGGTGTACTGCTAATTTCCCCTCAGCCAAAGAAAAACTGAAGAGCACAGATAGGAGAGCACAACAGGGAGTGGCCACAGTGCTAAGTTCTATTCCCCAGCTCAGGACGAGGACAGTACAGTCTCTTCAGACTTTCTGCCAGAAGACAATGCATACACAAAAGTAGCAGCTATTCTGCAATTTAGCTGAACACCATTTGCACCTTATAATGGACATACTTCAAATCAATTGTTATTTGCTATAGGCAGCAAATCAACTGCTAATTTACAAGGCTACCGTTAAACCTTTTAGTGCCACAAGACAGCACAACACAAATCAGTCTCCCAAACAATTCTCTTTACTTGACCAAAATCCAATGTTATAATACATGTATATACCTGTTTCTTTCTCCTCAAATCCTTTTTAATACTACAAAGCTAGGCAAGATACAAATGCCATCACAGTACTGTACTCAGGGTACTGGTTATCACCTACAAAGCTTTTCACGGTCTACGACATGCACATCTGAAGGACTGTGGCAGATTCGTTTATGTGAGCAAAGCCTTTTGAAGGGTAAGATCAATAGCTGCTTGTATCCGTGCATTCTGTTGTGGCTCCTACCTGCTGGTATGACCTTCCTGATGGTTCCCATACATATATCATTCTGTAAAATGTGTAAAACAGAGTTGTTCAAAAGAGCATTTTTCTGTACCTGTTATTCTACTCTATCATATAGTTTTCTAGTGTATGCTCTAATTTTGCAATCCAGTTTTTCCTGCATATTATTTTTATTGCATTGTTTTAATGGTGTGAACTACCTAACTTCTATGTAAGAAAGGTGGCCTATGAGTAAACTTAATTCATTAATTAATGCTGGACTATGGAAGCCATATGCTCCCACATAACAGCAGTGCAAAAGTGACAGGTTTCATTGTTTAAAGCGAATTTCTTATCACCATAGGCAAATCTGGCTGTTTTAATGTAAACATGTTTATTTACCTTAACAAAGATTAATAAATGATGCTTACAAAAGCTGCAACAGCAGCAAAATACACACAACTAGTCCTAGGACACATTCCATACATGCTAATGTATGAGAAGTCCTCAGTTGAAATTAAAGCAAACACCGTTCAGTATTTCAACACTAAAGATTTCCCCAAATGCCATCCTCAAAGTTTGTCTAACTCAAAAAGAGCACATTATCTTCAGTAAAATTTAAAACAATACAACTGATGTTTAACTGGAGAGTACTATGAACCACTATTCCAGTGCACAAGCACTGCTTTCCAATCATATGTCATGTGCAAGAAAAAAATTTTTTCCAGCAAAGTGAGATTTTTCTAGGCATCTTTGATACAACACATATTAAACAGAGACTCTTATGCAGCTCATTGCACAGCTTTTGAGAGAGCATTTTATATATTCCAATTGTAAATTACACCAGAAACATAATAGTCATGTTAAGTTTCAAAAGGAATCATTCTATACTTCAGCTTGAAGTTCTTCCAGCGATCAGTCAAGACTACAGCCCAAGTTATTTTCCATATAACAAGTTCCTATAGTGACAGTGGTTGAAAGCCAAATCTTGGTAAGTCTTAAAAGATCAAACACCTCCCCTTCCCACCCACTGCAACTGGTGTGGCAAGAGTCTTTCAAGATTCCTGTAATACCTCCCCAGATCTGAGAGTTTGAAAACTGTATCTTCAAGACTTCTATCGAGTGTTACTTTACTCTCGTCCAGTTTCTACAATGCAAATCAGGTAGACAGCAAAAACTAAATAGCTTTGTGTGTGTGTGTATATATACACACAAAGCTATTTAGTTTTTGCTGTCTACCTGATATACACACACACACGGCTACTGGGGCTGGAAATAAAATACCATCAAGATGTCCTATCTTCATGTACCTTCCTCAAAACTCTGCAAGAAAAAGCAACTACTTCCTCCTCTCTCTCCCTCCCCCGCCGTCCAGGCCCTTCCCACCGAAGAGCGCGCGCTCGCTCGCTCATACACACACACACACACAATGTAAAGGCCTGTTCCGCTAGTTGGCACGCGTCAACACACACACACACACCAACTTCTATTCCCTTCTCCCTGCGCTTGAAAGCTGATCTGAAGCGGCCAGGCCGGCTCTCCCCAACGAGTGGGGGAAGGAATAACCTAGCTTGGCCGTGCGGTTCTTAGGCCGCTCAGGCTGGAAAGGTGACGAGCTATTCCGCCGTGAGGGAAACAAGAGCCTGAGGTCGGCCCAAGAGGCAACGCCGCCGCCGCCGCCGCCGCCGCCTACACACCGGGGCCAGCGGAGAGGCCGCGGCGCACGGAGAGACCAGAGAGAGAGAGAGAGAGAGACTGTGTGTGGGGTGGGGCCCCTCCCCCGCCCGGTCCTCAGCCGCCGCCACCACCACCAAATGGGCCTAGTCCGGCCCGGCCTGCCCGCCCCGCGCTCCTTCCCCGGGCTTCCTTCCCACCTCCTGGTTGAAGGCGTTCACGGCCTCCATGTTGTTGCTTAGCGGCCTGCGGCAGCGCGCGTAAGGCAGCCGGGAGGGGGTCGCGGGACGTCGCTTTCGGCTGGGTCCCGCCTTCAGGGCCTCGGCGCTAACATGTCCGTTTAGCGGCGCCCCGCAGCGCCTCGTTTGCAGAGTCGCCGGAAAGACCGTCTCCCGCAGCGGGACGGCGGAGCCCACGCCGCGAACAGCACCCTGGGATAGTGTAGTCCTCCCAGCTTCGCGCCACCCATAGGAGGCAAGGGGGAGAAGAGGAAGCGAGCGCGGCGGAAGTACAACGTGATAGGGCTTGTTTCTCCGTCCTCCGCCTCCTTCCTCGCCTGGGGTTTCTTGATTCGTGTTTCCAGAAGGACTCGGAGATGCTGACTTTCGTTTCGTCCTTCTCACGTTGAATATAGCAGGTTGCACCAAAAGCAGGTCTGTCAGCCTGCAGTCTCGAGGCGCCTTTCTCCCGGGCTTAGAGGGCACATCGCTTTCAAATTAATACTGAAAGAATCCAAAGATAAAATGTATTAATAGCATTTCACAGGACTTGCTAAAAGGAGACAAACCATTTTTCAGATTGTAGAGAACTAGAAAGTTTGCACGGTGTTTTGTGTAATACGTTTTAGTAGGTCTTTGTAAAAGATATACGGATCTTGTTCTGGGGGGGGGGTTGTTTGGAACAGCAAAGCTTCTTTGAATTTATTTTTTTCTTTGAAAATACCAGAATTCAGCTACTAAAAATGATTCTTTAGCTGAAGAATGATGTGGGGAAAGGCTGCTGCCCAGGTAATGGTACCCAGTTCTGCTTCCATTGGCTGTACACCTAATCCATTAGCTTCATCCCCAAGAGTGTTGATGTAAGGACTTCTGTATTTTTCCCCTCTCTGTTCTCAGCTCTTTTAAGTTATCCAATTGTTTTCTTTGATGTTAGAGACACAGTAGATTAATCACTGATTCTTATATTTACAAAGGAGGCTGTCATTGTTGCAGCCTTCTTACAACAAGGCCAAGGGTGCTTCATACTAACTCTGTCCTGTACTTCAGTGTTTCCTAAGTATGCCAAACGGGGGTTTGGGAACTCTAGTTGCAGGGCAAACCTCGTTCTTCCAGACCCAGTCCGAAGCCCTTCCAGCCACATTTGCCTAAGGAGCGGGGCAGAAGGCACTATTCTGACTAGATGGCAGTGCAGCCCCCTCTGAGTTGTGTTTTCAGGACAGACTTGTTGCCCTGCAAGCGCCTTACGCAGCATTTATAAAGCTATGGACTATGGCTGTGAGCTGAACTGTAAAATAAATATGCCAGGGACTGAACTGTACAGTAGCCCAGTAATGGTGCCAACCTCCTGGACTGTGGACACATGCCCAGCCGAGGGAAGCCTCACCCAGAAGCAGTGTGCCAGCCAGACGTTGACCCAAGGTGCTCCTCACACCTGCATCCCTGCAGGAGACGAATCAACCTCCCTGATGCTAGGAATAAGCAGCAGCCAGCAAGCAGAAGCCATGTTTTACACCAGAAGCCTGAGTGTTCCTGCAAAGGACTCCGCTGAAGGACTTCTCCAGCATGCAGGCAGCCTTCCCCACCCCCTCCTTCTCCTAGTATTATTGCACACACCCATCCTCAAGTTAAACAATAACATTTGGCCATGATGAGATTATCTGAGCAGCCAAGCACACCCATCACACATCAAGTTAACGATAATGCAGATCGCCGGATCGTCGGCTAACCAAGCACCTGGAATGACTGCCTTTTCTTTTCCTTTGTCCACTCTTAGAGCTGTCACTATTAGTAAACATGTCAATTGCCCAACACTTAATTCCATTCTTTTAGACCATTAAGAAATTGGCAGCTTCTAGTATGTTCCTGGGGACTACATGCCTTGGCAACTCACGCCCCAAGCCCCTCTTAGGGTATATAAAAAGAGCATTTGCCAATTATTTGCTCTTCTCTTGCCTACCTAGCCACACCCTATCTCGCTGACTCCATTCGTAGCGCTATCTGGAGTCTACCACATGTGCTGCTGGCCATCACACGATCCCTTCCCTAGTATTTTCCCCATTTTTGGCTGCAGGATCACCTCATCGCATTGGACAGGTAGAGTGACACTCCACCAATGATACTTCCTGCTCATGCAACTGTCGCTGTATAATTCTATCTAATTTCCTAGTTCTGTATTGCTTGAGTGTGTGATTGCTTTATTTTAATTGTGTGTGTGTGTGTGTGAATCATCTAGTAAAAGAAATCATATTTAAGATCTAGTCTCCTGGTCTATTTCTGGGGATCTGAATAAAATTAGACTCTTGTATACACAGGTCATTGCTCCCTTAAAGCCTATTGTCATTTAATATTCATAACTCCCCATCTTTATTAAAGAAATAAGACAATTTGGCTAACAGCCTTTGTTAGCGAGTAGTGGAAAATTAGCTCTGATTCCTAGGCCCTGGTCATTGTTGCAGAGGGCTACAAGTTAGAATTTGTCCACAAGCCGCCTTTAGGCCCTTCCCAGTTGGGGGGAAGTTACTCCTCACCTGGCAGAGGCAGTGTTGGAGCTTCTGCAGAAGGGCATTATGCAGTTAGTCCCCAGCTCTGCTGTTAGCAAGGATTTCTATTTGCATTATTTCTCAGTTCCAAAGAAAGGTGGTGGGTTACGTCCCATCCTGGACCTCCATAACCTGAATAAGTTTCTTTATGTGAGAAAGTTCTGAATGGTTTCCTTGTTACAATTGTTAAAATTAAACTGGTGGTTCTTAGTCTTGGACTTGAAGGATGCTTATTTCACTGTCCATCCAGACCACAGAAAATACCTCTGCTGCCAGTGTGGTGAATCTTACTGTCAATATGCTGTCCTTCCCTTCAAGCTGGCTACAGTTCCTTGGGTTTTTCTAAGTGCATGGCTGTGGTGGTTGTGTTTTCGAGGTACAAGGGCTGTGTCATTTTTCCCTATTTAGATGACAACAAGGGGGGACCCGCGATACTCACGGGGGGGGAGGCAGAGGAGGAAGCAGCAGGAGGAGGTAAGTACCCCCCCATCCTGCTGGTTCCCCCCTGTCCTCCACCCCCTCCATCTCCCCCCATTGCCTCTCCCCCCCAGCTCCCCGCAGCTCTTCCCCCCCCCAACCCCGCACTGAAGCCAGGGGCGGGCCGGGAGC